GAGTTTTGCAGGGTTTAGGACATCTTTTGGCTGTCGCCATTGTCCGTACAAACGGACATTGAGCACAACTCTAACTTACACTTCTTTCCTTTTCAACAATCAAGGGCAGTTTAAAAATCATGTCTGAGTAACTCCTCAAAACTAGGGACACGTTGTTGATGGAACTGTTGTTTGCTTCATTTAGACAGTTAGGACTGATCGGTCATATCTACCGTCCGCTCCGCAGTTTCGTTAACGCTGGGACGTCGACTTTTGCGTGAATTAGTTGATGGTTATAGTAGACTGGTCCAGCGTCTACCACACTCCATCCTCCCTCACCTACCTGAACTCAATTTCAAGGCGGTTGCGTAGCCTGGTGGTGGGAGCGGTCGCAGTGGCTGACAAGGCCTAGCAAACCGTCTGCGCGTGCCACACACCGCCTAGGTCCGCATAACACATCAGGTTTTTACCCAAAGGGCGGTTTGGGACTATTACAATCACTTGGCCCATGTTCAGTCACTTTGACCCTCCCCTGCCACCAGAACGTAATGGCATAGAGTCGGTGGAAGCCTACCTTCGCTATAAGTGAATCCATGTGTCTGACATTCCTGTGCCGCTGATAGGGAAACGGTAGTCTTCATTGTGCCATAGAGTCTGTTTTCGCAATACATTACCTTATACCTACCTTCGCTACGTAAAGTAAGCACGTTTTAATTCACCCTGTACGTAGTCTCATAAATGCATAATTATATTTTAATTTTATTCTCTATTTTCATACTGTTGATTGAATCCGAGCTGATTATGGATTTTTCATGCACGGTAGCGTCCAAATTCGCAGGTCTTAAAAACTGTTTCTTTTTCGATTTGTGTGATACCGTTCAACGCATCCAGCCAGTAACAGTGGCGACGCATCCGTTCCGCTGGACCCCTCCGTCTCTACTCCTCGTAGTTATGTGGGAAATCTGGGCTTGTCACGCCACCTTGACGATCTAGACGCTGACTCTATCAGCCTCACTTCAACGTCCATCTCCACCAGTCGAACTGATGTGCGTGCCTACTCTTTTTGCTCTAAGTGCTCTCATCACCCAACTTGAAAATACAAATCTTATACTTCTCTTTTGTTTGACACATACATGTTGT